AAAACCGGCTGCCATGCAACATGGTAAAACAGATCAGTCCTTTATGAGCCAAAAGGAGAAGAAAAACTACTATTAGAAAAAAATCAGCAGAGAACAAAATGGTGCAGGAATTCTGCATCAGGGTCAGTGGCCATCAGAGAGCAAGAAGGCTGTTGTAACTGTAAGGACATTAAGGGTGATAGAGAGCAAAGGTGTGTGCATTAAAATAACATACACACACAAATTTTCTTAATTTTTACTATTTTTCTGAGGACTTCTCTGAAACTATGAGAAAAACCTTTAAACGATGTCTATAGGCCATTGCAGTGAAAATAAAATGAGGACCGGCCTAAATGTCCTCACTTTGTAAAAAGGTCCTCACTCCAAAGGTTATACAGTTTCATTGTCCTCATAATGATAGCTATACAAACACACACACACACACAATAAACACCTAAACATACAGTCAAAGCAATACAGTGTCATACATTAACACACTCAGAGGTACAGTAGCACAGTGACACACCCACAGGTTCGTCTGCCTTTAAAATATTATCTGTCAGATGTCGTAAAAATTCAAATTATTCTCAAATGTAAAAGCTAAACGTTAGTCCCCAAAACTCGAGAGTAGACAGAGTTTACTAGGGATACGGTAAGTAATATAGTCAGGGCGAGGATTATGTTTAGAATCAACTCCTGAGTATTGGGAGATAAATTGGCATTGAACCAGCTCGATTCTGTGCAGATCTCGTCGTTCTATCTCACTTGCGTCTATTCCTTGTCTAAGTCCCGCCCACGTAAAAATGCAAGGAAAACACGCGAGGAAAAAGGACTCGCTCTTACGTCCTCGGTGGACCAAATCGGCTTCCGGGTCGACCGAGGACGTAGGAACGACACACCGCATATCTGTGTAAAAGGTCATGGAAGCGGCTGCATGTTCACATAACTGCTGGTCTGTCTGCTCGTTTCTGTCCTGAAGTCCTAGAGAAGCAAGTCTACACATCATGGCTTTCTTCACTCATCAAATATGCCGGGGTTTCTCGTGTTCGGCTGTCAGGAATGTGGTTATTAAGCAGCTAACGATAATCGGAGGGGGTCTGATGGGTGCAGGAATTGCACAGGTAAGCGCCGAAATTCATCTGGACGCTGCAACTTTAGCACTGGTGTAGCCAGCCAGCTAGCTAGCAGTTAGCTTCACGTTTCATGCTGCATGTGACGGTTCCAAATATATTATGGGATCGGGGCTAAAATTACTCGATCACGAATAACCCACTCACATATGCAAACATAAAAAGTTTCCATTAGTATTTAACAGAAGTGAAAATCCTGCCCAACATTAGGTCTCGATTCATCTGCTCATGTATTAGCCTATTTGTTTACAAAGTTGCAGTCACTATAAGTCGCAAAGACACCCACTCAGTTGGCAGTTTATTAGCTACACCTAATAAGCTAAAAATTAATGCAGTCTGATACAACCGCGCTGTACCTTCATGAACGTGATGAACACCTCTAAAACGTGACATTATCGCCTTCATGGAGGGAAGATTTATTGTAGAACTCGTATTTAGACTAGCTGGGTTTTAGCTTGGTGCACCTAATAAACTGCCAAATGAATGTTTGTAAACTCACTCTTACATATATTCACTCAGATATACCTAAACCCGGGGTAAACAAGAGCATGTGCTGGAGAGGTCGGAAGCTACAAATTTATCTAGACCTAAACTAAAGTTTCGAGGCAAAACAATCAGAATTACACTGAACAAAAACCATATGGCACAGAAAGACTACTACTAATAAAGGCAAGAAGCCAACACTATAATCGGGAGGGCACCATTGTAAGATATTTCTTGAAGCTAAACAAGGATTAATCAAATCAAATCAAATCAAATTTTATTTGTATAGCGCCAAATCACAACAAAAGTCATCTCAGGACACTTTACAAAGTAAGGTCTAGACCTTACTGTTATCAATATTATTACATAGGGAAAACCCAACAAACCCCCCTTGAGCAAGCACTTGGCGACAGTGGGGAGGAAAAACTCCCTTTAACGGAAGAAACCTCCGACAGACCCCGGCT